CTTGGACTGAGAAGAGGTGGCTTCCAAGAGAAATACATTAGAAAAAAACGAACGGCGTTCCTTTGAGCCCAGAAACGCGAATGCACTCTTGTGGGAAACTCTTCTTGGGACACTCGTGTAGGACACTCTTGTCGGACGCTCTTGTAGGACGCTCTCGTGGGGGGACATTCTGTTGTGGGACACTGACTCTTGTGGGACACTCTGCGGGGCACTCTTGTGGGACACTTTTGTGAGACACGCTTGTGGGACACTCTTGTAGGGCACTCTCTTGTGTGACAGTCGCGTGGGACACTCTTGTCAGAGATGCTCGTACGCCCCTTTTGTGTGACACTCTTGTCGGAGACTCTTGTGGGACACTCTCTGGCGACCGCAAATCATCCCCCTCACCAGCGACACGTTTACAACAGAGCCATGCAAAGGCTGCCAAACCGCATGGCCCAGTGACATCAGGAGCGTAATTTCGCCGCGCCATGCACCACAAAGACAGATGCCATGTGACATGACACCGCCAATCATCATGCATGTTTCCCTTCCCCAATGGCACGGAGCGACGTGCATGCACTTTCCACCCCTCAAAACCGCCCGTGCATCCCAACGTCCGAGCCTCACGATTCCCTGTGCCTGCCACGAAAACGCAAGTTCCACACTTCCAACAAGCACGAAGTGCTGTCCTGCCACATCTTGTTTTAGCAAAATTCGCGCCACACCACATGTTTGGATTGATTTTGACACTTGTCGGAGCACACTCACATCAACCAAGATCACAAATGTCAGCTTTGACCTCTGTCACGAAAACACAGTTTCGAGGCAAGGGCCTGAAAAGCGAATCCCAATGGCACTGCGACGCTCGACACCTCGAAAAGACCAGTTTGGGGACGCCAATCCCAATGGTGCAAGGATCGCACGAAGCGCTGCAAATGTGCAACAAAGTCATCCTCCACACTACAACATGTTATGTTTCTACCGACACTTCCGGCTTCCATCCAAAACCTGTTCCATCGATTGCATTCGGTCACTTGCAGCCGGTTGTGAATGCGAAAGAAGCGTCGCGCGAACACAGCTTTACCGGCTTTACCCCAAGGCCCCCAGAGATGAACGAGAACCTTTCGCTACGCATTCGGAAAAATGCAACAAGAACAGAACAAAACTAGATGACAGGCTGGCCCGAAAGGAGCTTGCGTAGATTGTCTTATTGGTTTTGCAGGAGGTCCCCTAAAGAGTCTGGCTGAGGCTTTTTGGCAGTACACTTGCAGTTTGAAATTACTGAGGTGAATTATTTTTCAAAAAACTGCAGAACAAGTGCACTTCCAGGGTTTCCCGTTCTGTTTCCTTTTTGGGTAGCTGCCACCTAACAAGAAGATGCACGAGACTGCGGCATGTTGCCAAGTACCCCAAATCTTTGTGGGGATCAAAGTGCAAAGTTGCAAACGTGTTGCTGCAGGCAGACTGCTGAAGCTGTCGACTAGCAGCCATTGTTTCACTTTAACAGTGCACTTGATTCGCAGCTCACAGAAGCCGAAGCGCTGGGAGGCTGTGAACATGGACAGGAATGGTAACATGCAAAGGACATCGCCACCAAAGCTCAGCTCAGAATCGGAATTCTTGCCCGATCCTGTAACCAACACGTTGAACTCTGTTTAGCCAGCTGGTGCTTGCAGTCACCAGTCAAAGTTTTGGAACCACTGACTGCACATATTTGGCTCGATGCAGCTTTTGCCAGCGTGAAAGTTATATTCACTCTCTCACCAAGCGAGTTCCCGAAAGCCATGTGGTTATGGATGGAGCGATGCGAGTGGTCGCATTGACTTGGTTCCAAGCCTAGCAGAGCAAAGGGTATATATATACACATATCTATACACGCAGCTAGTAGCATCTAGCAGATTATATAGTCATTGTTTTTTTCGGTCAAGACGACTTTGGTGCGTGGTCGGTGGTCACTGAAGATATCCTGGATAGGGGTTCTTGAAGCATGCCCACCACGCTTGTGTCAGCCTCACAAGCTAGCAACTGGCGCAATGTAGTTAGAGTGAAACGTTTTGAACGAAATGCTTAGATGCGCTGCAACAGACAATGATTCAAAACGCTATTATTCTCACGGGGGACTCCATTTGTTCCATGGTGCTTGGGCCTCTGGTACTTTTGTCCCCTTGTCCTTTTCCGCCTCGTGGTCCATTGGTCAAAAAGCGTGAGGTTAGCAAATTTCATAATTCACCAGATAGTGAGAGCTATTGGGGTTGTTACTTCAAGTATAGAAAGAGATGCCTGTGCCTGGGTGCTGGTTCCGCCGCACGGTGCCGCCACCAGATGTGTGCATGTGCGCTTTGGAGCTTGAGTGCTGGTGCCGCTAGGGTGCCGCTGCCAGATGCGTATATATATATATATATAGAGCTTGGATGTTGGTGCCACGGTGCCGTTCCTGGGTGCTTCTGCGAGATGTCTGTGGCTGCGTGCACTTTGCAGCCTGGTTGTTGGTGCCGCTGCAGGTGCCGTTGCTATGGTGCTGCCCACAAATATTTTATAGCTAGCTAAAAGATAAATTTTGTCTGGTGGGTGCCCTTCATTGATGGGGCAATGGGGTGTGTAGTTTTGGATGATGATCCTTTTTGTTCCTCTGAGTCTGGTGGCTTTTGATTTCCGACCTCCAGCGCAACGAAATTTGCACCACTTCATATATGTGCACTCACTTGTGCTTCCACTTGTGTCCTTTCATTTATGTTGCTGTATGTGCGGCGTGTGCGCCAGCACCTGTGTTGCTTCTACCCAGCTGCTCAACCTTTATACTGTCATCAGTTTCGCACATGTCAACTGATGCCATTGGCTCAGGAAAACAGTCCGCTTGAGTGCTTTCGCGCACTGCATTGGCACTGCGCTTGCAATACATACTCGCGACCGTTCTCGACACCGTGTTCGACCCTAAGGGACCACCCGCACCCCTTCTCCCATGTGTACAACCGATGATGAGTTTGTGGGAACATGTTTTGCAATCTTGACAACCAAAATGTAAACATGCCTCCAAAAACGCCAGGCGACGCATCAACCCGCGGGCAGCTATATACGCACCAAAGTTAAGGACAACGAAATGGCAGAGGATTGCTGAACGCAAATGCACGGAAGACAGTTTTTGCGCGACGATCATTGGCATTTAGGTTCTTAAAGGCTTTCTGTGGCTTAATGTTTTTTCCAGTGCTGATTCGCTGCTACCCCTTCCAGCATAAGTCTAATCGATTCTTTCATGCAAAATGGCAAGTTTCTTGATATTTCTTGCATCCACTCGTTCCATTATATAATATATGCAACGCCTCTGTGGGTTCGAGAGTGGGCGAGCTTCAATCTGGTAAATTTTCAGTTGTTTCGCTTTCGCAGTCCACGCTCCGAGGTTGACACTGACACATGGTCAAGTGACTGGGGAGCAGTGCAACTCTGTACCAAGAAGCTCAGCAACCACAGAATGGTGAAGCTTTGCTGAACATCTTCAAACTGTCAGGGGCATTTTGCGAAAAGGTTCCAATCATCAACTGCTTTTGGTTTGGGAGTCTTGTGTAGGGTTACAGCCCAGCGAGTGGATGGAGCGGCCACCCCTACTCCTGCTCTCCTCCAAACCTTGTGTTCTCGGCACGACCTTTGTTCTTTCACCGCAAAATCCCAATGCATGGGATCTCAAAACTCTTGCATTTTTGGTTTTGTGCTGCAAAGCTGCGCCAGCTGTGCTTTGTTCTGTGGATTTCAAGGTAAGCAGAGTTGCGCAATGCTCTTGGCCTTTGTTCGCATGCGAATGCCGTACGAGGCCTGCTCAGTTCAAGATCAATTGGATAACGACTTGGAACATGCTTTCAACATTGAAAATTCTGTCCGAAGTGCTTTTGGTGTACTTCTACTCATGCAGACCATGGACTTCAACGCTCTGCTTGGAGCAAACAAAATGAACACATGGGCAGTCTGCCCTTCAGCATTTCGCTGCGTGGCTTTGTTTTAGGACTTCCGGGGAAGGAGCGTTGGTCATGTACGTATATATAAGTGCATTGAACTTAACTTTATTGCTGTGTGTAACCCATAGAAGGATGTTCTGATGATACCTAAGAGGGTACCTTCTTTTTGGATGTGCTTTACATTTGCAACTTTTGCCAAACGGTTCTGATGATGTGAGATCCTGAGTATTCATAAGTCGGTTTCAGCAGCTGTTGATATTCTTTTGCACGTCACAGCTGCACCCGAAGCCGCGACTCAGGCAGTATTGTCTTTGCAAGGTTGGCGCACGAAATAAAGCAGCTGCAGCCTCCTGGCCTGGAATTGGCGCTTTTTATGCACAGATTGAGATAGAAAAGCAGTGAAAGGACAGCGCTTGAGATAGATTGTGTTCATCTCAGGCCGGACGACTTGCCTTCTGTTGAGCGAAGGATTAGGGTGGCGGAACACGCAGCTCGGGAGTTTGTGACCAAGAACATCACAGGACACAAACTTGTGCAGTTTTAGTTATTTATCAGTTTTGTTTTTTATTTTACCAATTCATTCCGCTCCTTTTGCATGTAGTGTTGGATATGGCACCATGCAGACTATGCAACTCAACTTTGTTTCCTCAGTCAAGCGTCAGGCAAGAACAATAGCTCATAATGAGTGCAACACTTTCGTGCCTAGTGCTTTGAATGGTCCTTTGTTTGCTCCAGGCTATTTGGAAGCTGGAACCAGTTTTGCGCCGTGGTTTCACCTGGGAACAGTCTTTGAGGTCATCAAGGAGAACTTTTCTGCTGTATTCTCAAGGCAGGAGCAGCTCCTGCCAACACCAAAACGATGCTCAGCCAGACAAGTGTCTTACTTGCGTGGCTTTCCTGGACCTAGTGCAGACGCTTTAAGTCTAATTTCTGTGGTTTTGCCTTTCGGAGCTTTTTTGGCCTATTGGGGCTCAAGTGCCTTCAGCTTTGCACGGCTGTGTTGCACAAAAAGAAATCCGTTTCGGAACGTTGCTTTGCACAGCTTCAGCAGCAGCTCAGACCCCTACCAATAGAGATTTTTGGCACCTTTGCAGATAATGTATATAGATGTTGAGGACAATAGGGTATGGATGTAATGTAATGTAATTGAATTTGATATAATGGAACTTAATCGAATGGGATGTAATGTATGTATGCAGTGTAGCGTAGCGTAGCGAAGCATTGTGTTGGGTTGTGTTGTGGTAGGTATTTAATGTATTGTAATGTACGTCATGTAATGTAATTATCATAGGGTCACAAACAGTAGGCGGCAAACAGGGGGCGGCAAAACGAGGAATCTCAGTTCTACTCTGAGAGCAAACAAGATTTTTGACAAAAAGTGATCGAGTGGCAGGAGAGACTGGGACAGAACAGGAGAGCACAGGAGAGAACAGGAGAGAACAGGAGAGAACAGAAGAGAACAGGAGAGAACAGGAGAGACTCAGAATGACTTTCAATCACTCTGAGCAGTTGAGAGTAGTCCAGAGTCACTGGAGAGAGCTATTTTGCTTTATGGAAGGCTCTCAACTGCTCTCAACTTCTTTGATCTGCTCTGAAATGTTCTAACTCTCTCGAAAGCCATTTTGGCTTAGACATGCTTAGACTATGTATGAGTATGAGCCTGGCAGAATAATTATTGACTAAAAGGTCAGGTCAACTAACTACTTAACATACTAGCATCTTAGAGGTTTTCACAAGCCAACCGCCAATGGCGGCATTGACAAGGTCACAGGACAACGCAGATCAAACATCCAAGACAAGATAGGTAGTTTCAGAATCTTTAGTTGATCAATTGATCCAATGGTCCGGCTGCGGAGATGACCGAACACACGTTTTCTTCGTGCCGGGTCTTTGTCTTAAACAATGAACTGATCAGCTCCGGGGTTCCTATCTATGTGGCCAAGAAAAACAGTGGTGTTCAATCGGAATGGGCACTCTCAGCAATTGCCGCGCGTGTCTGGTCGCATGAACGTCCCACTGAATGGAGAAAACGAATCAGTGCATTTTTGGAGACAGTGAAGACAACACATTCACTGATTTGGCCCGACGACCGGGTACCTGAGTTGTTGGAAAGCAAGCATAAGCCCAACAAAAAAAGAAACAGAGAGGATTCCCAGATTTTCCATGAGACAACCATACCAACATCCATGGTATTTTCCACCTTGTTGACATCAATCACCAACACCAAACGGAATCCGAAGGACAAGGAACAGGCACTGCTGTTTTTCCGCCAGCTGGTCCAGAAGGTCATCGCGGTATCATGCCCAGGGGGCCGCGTTGAGCTGCTGCGGGGTTCAAAGGCGTATGGTGCTCAGTGGGCCTACGTAGTCATTTCCGGCAAGGGAACCCTACAGCAATCAAAACTCTGGGATGATGCTTTAGAGTTTCAGGGTTCTCTGTCCTCGGTGTGGAATTCAGACTTGTGTGATGGCAACAAGCCTTGGGTTGCATCAACATTCGCAGAACCCAGTTTGGTGGACCTAATTTGTTTCACCTTCACGCCAACATCTTCCAGATTATCTCGCAAAGATGCACAAGTGATGAACGAGTTCAAACAGGCTATGATGCAACCAATCTGTTACCTTGTGGGTTTCCTGGCACAGTTGGTGGAAAAGAACATTGTCAATTTGACCGTGCCACCTAAGAAGAGTGTCGTATTCGGAAAAGCTGCAAAGTCCAAAAAAAAGATTGGGGCGAGCAAAGTTGGTCAAATTGTGGCAGCTGCACTTCAAAAGCAGTACAATCTTGAGGTTCCTTGGAACATACTATGTAAGTCGTGAAACGTTTCCTTTTTGGGGGAGGGGAACTTGGTTTCCACATGTTTCCACTAATGTGAGGCCTTAAGATGCCGTGTCAATAAACTCCTTGACTCAGGTGAAATCAATTCGGAGGGCGCTGGACCTGTCTGGTGGCTCTGGGTTGAAAGTCGCGCAGGCCAGCAACTTGTTTGCAGCCGGGGGCTAAGATTCACCGTTAAGGCATTCAGAAGTCATCAAACCCCAGAGCAGTTTGGTATGTAAAAGATCAAAAGAACCCCAACCTGTTCGTGAAGAACACCTCCAATGACTCACACTAGCAGCGGCTCATGGACCGCCTGTTTGGCCCTGTCCGGCTGAGGCTGTCATGGCCGCTCGCGCCCGAGCAGAGTGCACTGGCCAGAAGCACTTCCATGCCGGCCTGACTGTATTATTGGTAGCATACTATTGTAAGCTGTAAATGGTAGGAAACACGACGAGTGAGGTCATTGACCAACACTACCAATGGAACATAAATTTGAAACCCGAAAACCAGAAACCTCGACTTACTTCGAGGAAGTCTTGACCTACCTATTCATTCATATCTCATGTGTGTCATGGCCATTATTGGTGGCCCGATTGTGGCCAGATACTGTTTGACGGCAGCGACATCGCTGGCAAGAAGCACGAGCTCTTTCAGGCGTGGACATTGCGTGGTAATCAACCAATCACTGGGCTCATGCAGTTTGCAATCACTTATTCACATACTTATAACTTCCTGGGAAAGAGTCGACGAGGGTAGGCAACAACTGCGTGACAGTAGTCTGGAATTAAGCAAAAACCTCACGTGACAGAACGATTAAGAATGGCTTTTGGGTGGCACTAATGGCTCTTCTGTGCTTCTGGCAGGTGTGGTGCCCACGACTTCAAGGCGGCTGCTTTGCACCACCTCTGGCAGAGTCCCCAGCCGACATTCCAATGGGCGAGGCTAGATTCTAGTCGGGGGAGACCGTTCTTTTCCGGTTTGTTTCAGAATGATTCAGACATTCAACTCAAAGACGGCAGTTGCTGCTACTGACTCATTCTTTGCATATTCTATGGTTGGCTCATAGGTTGGATTCAATCTGCAGCCGCTTCTAACTTCAGGGATAACTTTTGCAACCTGCGTAACGGGCGGGCGGACAGTGCGCCATGCCTCTTCTGCAGGCAATGAAAGCTAGCCATTCCTCAACAGGGCATCTAACGAGTAGCAGGCGCACCATGTCAAGTTCGACTGCGGTTGACGACCTGAACCCACCAACTCAGAACTCGTCGTCTTCTTCAACCCTGTCTTCGACATACGAGGTGGCCGGTTGCCAAACTAACCGATGTTGTCTTTATCGAGCGGACGAAATGATCGAGTCATAACTAGCTAAGTTAAAGATATGAACTGCCCAATACGATGTCTACACTTACACTAGTCAGATGAGTATTACTATCACGCCAAATTACGCCCAAAACTATCAGGTTGATCCTGCGGCTCCTAGACTTGCTCAAGCGGCGCAAAGCATCCATGTGGGAGTGGCCCTCGTGCACAAGACCATTCCTCAGGCATATTTGGAAAGGAGTTTGCTTGCAACTGCCCGTTCGATGTCGACTTCATGCACAGGAGTGTATACATCAGAAATAGCAACAGCCATTATCCAAAAGGCATGCAATGAATCTCAGCTGTTCCGTTTTGTGGTGGACATTGACAGCTACTGCTGCCACGAACCTTGACTTTGCTTGGCTGTTTTCCGCTAGATCTTTCTTAACGAAAATACTCTCGGGGCCGGTTTGCTTCCTATGACTCTGTGTCAGGAAATAGATGCACATTGCCGTCAAGCAATCATAGACAACCATCATTGGGCCCAGCAGTGGGCTGACCGGAGACGGTCTGTACCGCACATATTCGCAGATCTGAGGGACCAGGCTTCCTTGGATCAAGTCAACCCACGTTTGCCATTCCTTGCGCGGTGGGGTCAGGCGAGCAGACTCCAAGCTTCCCATGAACAGTTCTGCCACACACACGCACGCTATTGCCCTTCTATGGTGCCACTTGATTTTGATGTGAGTGGGCTACCGTGCCAAGACAACAGCAGAGCGAACCACAACCGCCGTTTCTTTGAGGGCAAGAACAGCACAGAAAACCTGGCTTGGGCAAAACGCCATGTAGATCTGGAGACCCCCCTATTGATCATTGAGAACACTCCAGAAACTTAGCTCAATTCGGCCTGACCGCTGATTTTTCAGCTTGAAAAAATAGACCACTATATAATAACTATATCATCAATTGACTGTGGGCCTTCCAATCTTCAATCCCATCTAAGGATATCCCACTCAAAGATTTGAAGAACATCTTGTGTGACTACACGCTGTACCAGCTCTTCGTCGACCCATCTGATGTTGGCCATGCTGGGGTTGCGCGTAGGCGGACGTACATCTACTGTTGCCACAACCGGACTGGTGAGTATCTCTATGATTGCTTTCACATGTACGACGTGATCAAGTCTCACATTACACGGAGAGTTGCCACTGAGTGCCAGGACTATTTTCAATCAAGTGACGTCCACACCCAAATGCAGCTAGAGTCAATTGCCCGAAAAAGAAAACTTTCAGCATCTTGACTTCGCTCAGAAATTGAAGTTCAAGCTTAATGTCTCATTCAAAGAATATTTCTAACAACAAACATAATGTATAATGAACTGTTATCATCACATTATATGTTCAATGGACATTGTTTCTTTTGTCTGTGGCTTCCGACACATTGGGCCCAGGAATGGCAGTGTGTCGGTGACATATTGAATTCCCGCGAGCGAGAGCTGGTGGCCGGCTTAGACAGCGCCTACTTCAACAAGTTTCACAAGCGGCCGACTGACCCAAACCTTGTCTACTTTCTCGGAGACTCTTTGGAATGGAAATCATGGAGCGCGACCAGTGGCAAACTACCGACGTTCAGGCGACAGTCAGGGCTCTATCTTCAGCGTGCAAAGGCCAAACTTTTAACGCCGTATGACAAACTTGCTGCCTTAGGCTGGCCAACATCTAAAGAGGCTGCCGAGGCCT